TGATCTTTGTAATTGTGCCACTTGACATCTTTGAAACCCCTTACTTGTATGCCTAATGAGTAGGATTGCTAGTTATTGAGACTTTTGTCTCATCCCGTGAGTTCACATTTTCAAGTGACAACTCTAAGATTGATCTATAAGTAAAGGTGCTGAAACCTTAGCTATCAAATCAATCTTGTATAGCCTCCTTTTGTTATGTGATGGGCATTTGTATATTGTCACATAGAGTTCATTTTGCATACTCTAATTTATTTGAGATTATTTGTATTAATTATATGCTTTTAATAAATTGTCACTGGATTACATGCTGGTAGAAGGCTAGAAGCCTTAAGGTGTTCGTATTTGTTTGTAAACTGTGGATCCATAATGTCTTTTTAAAACATTGGAGTATTGTTAGTTTGAAAAGTTATAAAAAGTATTATTCAGGAAATGTCTTATTATGAGCTTATAGTTGAACGTGACATACTAGGTTTTGTAATGCCCAAGGCCCAGTTATTGTGAAGCATTGTTATTGTTGGTTTACATGTGATTGTTGTAATAAAACTCTAATATCCATGATAGCTTTTGGAGGTTTTATTTTGATTCTTTTCTATCATGGATAAGTATTAAAAGATGAGTTTATCTCTTTTAACCATGATAGGCATTTTTGAGAATTAGTTTAACTCTTTTCTATCATAATTAATCTTTCTTATAATTCAAGCTTCTTCTATAACCATGGTAGGATTTCCAAATGTTATACTAAGTTTTTTTTTACCATGGTTATATTAAATGGCTATTCGAAAAGGTTAGTAACCGATTAAGAAGAACTATTGTTACAGTTTCATTCCTATAAGGCATAGAGGTTGGCTTTAGAATAATTTAAAACTGAATTTTATAGAGAGGGGATATCCGAGAAAAGCTAAAATAGACTACTTACAAGTCAAAGTTTGACTTTAGAAAAATCAAAGAAATTTCTCATGATAAAAAGGAGTTGGTGGTACCTAAAGATAGATTTTTAAAGTCATGGACTGATAAAAAGAGTTCAGTTAAGTTTACTTCAAAATAAATATTATTATATGTTTAATGGAGAGACAAAGAGAAAAGCATCTCTCCCTCTACGTACATGCATATATAATGTCATATGGAGTTATTTATGATGAGAAAAGGGTGCCAAAACATGTGCCAATGTTATCAGATAAGTTAGGACCCAAAAAAGCACCTGATATGGTATAAAATTGTGAAATAGGTGAAGGAATAGCAAGGGTATAATTATGCGTGAATTTTCTTTTATTTTCCTCCCTACTTTGTTAATAATTTGATAAATAGGACAAGGTTGGAATTATACCTTTTGTCAAGAGTAAAACTTGAAAAAAGATTAAAATAATATTTACTAATCACATGTTAAATGTGTAAAGACACTTGACAAGAAGAGAATGTGCCACCTAACTCAATGATGTAAGGGAGATATATAATGTAAGATGAGGTAAGGAAGATGATGCAAGCCAAGGCCTTGGCTAGATCATAAAGAAACAAAGCCTAATCAAAAGCCATGTGTCATGGTGAGTAAGCATGGTAATTTGATTTTAACCCAAGGTAAAATGGTAACTTAAGTTCTACAAATACTCTTTTCTCCCTCCCAATTGTGTGTTTGGATGGCCAAGAGAGAAAGAGCAAGGGGAGCATGAAATTTCAGAGATAAAAAGGAGAAGAAGAAGAGTTTCAAGTTACATGCAAGACCAAGATTCAATACAAGGTAAGATCATGGTTTTTAATATAGTTTATGATGCTCTATGTCTTGCAAAGCTTGGTTATAGTTTTTATTGATTTTTGGACGCATTAAACACTAAGATGAGATGCTGTTCAAATATGATTAATGCATGAAAAAGATTGATTGAAGTTAGATTAATGATTAAGGGAAAGAAAATAGTAGAAATCAAGTGGTTTTGTGATAAAAATTAAATGAATCCAACTTCTCCTAATTCTATGTGATTTATCGCCAAACCTAGATATTGAGTTAGAATTGGATTTTGATGATTTTAATGCTTCCAATGAGTTTAGAATGAAAAATTGTATAGGGTATAAGTGAGAAAACAAGTTTAGAAGCATTGGAATTAAAAATAAAATTTGAACCCTAAACCCTAAGTAATTAGGTCAAACTTGTTTGAGAAGGGAGGAGTTTGATTTTGATAATTTTAAGCTTGAAAATGGATTCTACATGTAAAATTATGAGAGAATAGCATGTGAAATTAATTTTAGAAATATTAAAAATCAAGTTCAATACTTAGAAGTCAATGTGGCTCAAAGAGAGCAAAGTGTTAATGTTGATTGTGATCATAGCGTGAGTGTATGACATTGTATGCTAATGTATTTAGAGTCATGGGACATTAAGAAAGATGAATGGAAAAGGTTGAGTAAGTAACCTAAGTGGTTGGAAGCAAAAGGAGCAAGAGGAAGCAAAAAGAAAGCTTAATGACACAAAGTAATGAGTTTGCCCCTTATTGTGTGCTTGATATGTATGCTTGCATGTTGATATTTCTAGATGATGATTTAGAATATGAAAGACTGAATATTACTTTGTTTCTTGTATATTCCGTGGCCATGTGTGAATGAAATATTGAGCATTAAAGCATGTTATTTTTATAAGTATGAGAGTATGTACCAAGCATGTCATCCACCTAGCATTTATCTTGCGTGCATATTGGTAATGTTTGCTACTAAGATTCTCTCAAATCTCACCTTCCCTTAACAAACCATGATAGGTATGATGTGCAAAGGAAGAGCAATGCATGAAAAAGAACAAAGAAAAAAAGAGAGAAGAAAGTGATAATTGTGTTATATTATAGTATGCAATTCCTCATTAATGTATATATGGCTAATGCCAATGATATTGTGTAATGTTAAATGATGATGATGGCTTGGATTATAGAGCATGTTAATGCATAAAAATGAATTATACAATATTGGAATGGTTATGAGTATGCAAGGAATAATTATGATATGTTAAATCCAAGCAAAAGGGATAAATGACTCTTAATGCACAGTAAAGTTGAGATAGAATAAAGTAAGTAGATGAATCAACCCTTAAAACTTTGTGAACAATTAGTAAACATCTCAAGCTTCAAAACAAGTGATAGATCACATAAAATGGATGTGTATACTAACAGATATGATTGCTCAAAGTTAGGGTAGTAAAGCTAAAAAGTACTATTTGACCAAATGAACAGTAAACTTTAACGTAATTTATGTACTAAATGAGAAAGTAAATAAACTATTGAGTATTTTTTCTTGTAGAGAATTATAATATCTTTAAATAGAAATTAGAATTACCTCAATATAATTTTTTTATAATTAGTTATGAATTTTTAAAATGAGACCAAAAATCTGAAATTTACTGGTGAATAGTAACTCAAGAAGCAAATTTTAAATTTTTAATCTATGGGCTTATTTTATTATTCACTTGAGCCGTAACACTTCTAGAGATATACTAAATGGAGTAGATGGAAGTCAGTGGGCCCCACCCTGTTTTTACCAAAAGTATTAGAATACACCAACTCAAAAATAAAAAAAGGAAAAGAAAATTCATCTTCTCCTCCCCACCCCTCAGCGCATCTTCTAAAGTTTGAATACCCAAAACAAGAAAATAGCCGGTTAATCAATCTCAACACTTTTTTTCCTGAAATCAATCTTAACCCTCAAGAGCCAAGGTAGGGAAAGCAATAGTTCTCCCGCCCTCGATCTGTAAGAAGGGACGCAGATTCAAAAGGTCCCGAACTTCCACCACTTGGATGCATGACTTTTCATCTTACCTTCGAGGCTTTTCCCAATCTAGAGAGCAATATGAAATCCTCTCCCTCCTATGAATCTACAATGCCACCCCAACATCTCAAAAAGTTCACAATCAACACCAACATAGCTTTTAAATTCAAACTAAAATTATCATTCCACATTAATCAAATGGAGTTAAAGACTCAAAAATTAAGAAAAATCTAAACGTTTCAATCCATAGTATTCAAGCTTTTCACACTTACGCACCAGAGATATCATTAGCGCCACCTTCTTCATCTTCAATGTCTAAAATAAATATTTTTCTTGATAAATTAATAGTTCAAATGCCAAAAAATCATCCTACTTCGATCCAAGAAATCATCACCACTTAGCTCCCTTGCCGTTGGAATCTCTATGCCACCCCTGACTTGCTCAAAGCTTTTGGCATTAATGACATTCAGGTCGTTGGACTCAGCTACCTTTGCGGCGTCGCAGGCTCGGTTGCCTTCTATGTGATCTTACTGGGGATATTGGGTTCTCACGAGATGAGGAAAAGGGTAGGTTCGACGTCGATGACTAATCTACTGCTCTTCTTCAGGATTAACATGGGAGAGTAAGGCTATGCAGGAGCAGGCTATGCCACGTCGGAGATTAGCAACACCGACCTTGCTCTCTAGTTTCCTGGCTCGTGTGACTGAGTTTGGAGGCTGAGATTAAGGTTCCCCCCCCCCCCTAATTATAGCGTGTTTTTCTTAGTGGAGATATTTCCACACCTTTTTTAAAATAGCGTGGGCCCCATAATTAAAAGTAATTAACGGCCGTTATATTGTTTTATTTCGTCATTTTTGGCCCCATTTGAACTTGCATAGGTAGATTTACACCGGAGAAAATAAGATAGTGTTTGGCGCCCATTAAATATAAGTAGTTTATTGGTATTTGTGCACTTCAACCCCTTTTTTAAACAAGTGCGGGGCAATATTATAAAAAACATAAACATTTCATAATTTCATTTAATTACATAGCATCTCAATGGGATTTTGGAAATTCAAATCACCTTTTTGTGTATTTGCTATTTTTAAGTTTTTTTTCTGTCTTTTTCCTTTTTATTTTTCACATCTTTCCAAAAACAAATAATCATGAAATGGAAAGAAAAAAAAAACCAACAATGGATCCATATGTTAATGCTCTCCTCACGCCTTTTCTCTTTATATATACCACTCCACCCCCCCCCTTCCGTCCCCAAACAAAAAGCAGAAATGGTGAAGTTCTCAAAGGAGCTTGAGGCTCAACTCATCCCAGAATGGAAGGAAGCCTTCGTCAACTACTGGCAGCTCAAGAAACAGATCAAGAGAATCAAGCTCGCCAAGCTTCCCAACCAGCCTCTTCTTCCCAAACCCGACTTTGGCCGCTCTGTTTTCGACTGTCTTCGCTTATTCTCCAGCAACTTCCTCTCCTCCGGCGATAAATCTGATGTCATAAGGGTAAAGTGTGTGTGTTTCTGATAATAAGTAATATACCAATTAATTTCCGGCCGGGGTCCCCAGCTGGTGATGAACCAGCCCGAGTTTGTGGGTAATGAGAGAGGAAACGGATCGGTGCGATTTAAGATTACGTGTGCTTTTTGAGATTTTAAGAGGTTTGGTTTTGTTGTGATCGATGCGTAACTTTGGTTGTTGCTAGAAAAGCATAAGAGGTGACATCATTTTCGGACAAAAAATAATGTTTTCGAGAATCATCTTTACTTTGTTTCACATGAATCTCTGTCACCACCAAATCTTCAGATCAAATTTCTAATAGTCATCTTGAACTTTTTTAGTCATAATGTGCAGCAAACTAATTATATGTTGAAACTACATATGCTCTGTCGTACTTTTTTTTTTGGGTACATAATTTGTTTGTGTGAAATTGTTTGCGTTGTGAAAGTTTGAGTTTTTGAGTTTGTATGAGGTTAAACAGAGAGAGAGAGACTTAAAAGTGTAAATGAGAGGCTTTTTTTCTGCTTTTCTTTTTGGGGAGTATCTCAATCCCTCACGAAAGCACGCAAAATGGTTGTCGCATTTATGAATGTATGGACCAAAGTTATCACGAAATCATCGTGTTCACAGTATATAATCATATAAATTAAGGAGATCAGTGGTACAATGGAAGAAAATAATGCAAGATTAGGTCATATGAAAACTGAAATTGTGCCTAAAGAAAATAGTAACACCTTCTAGTAGTAGTAGTAGTAAAAATTAATGCCGTTTTGTTTTATATAGGTCAGGAGGAAATTCAAGGAGGATACGCACGAAGAAGTCTACGAAACTGAACTTGCTCAATTGTTCTCAGAAGAAGATGAGGTATTTGATTTTAATTTCTAAGCCTTAATTAATTTGAGAAAAATTAAGGGAAAAAACTATTCTTAAGCTATTGGTGCAATTATTATACTAATTGGTTTACCCTTTTCAGGTACGTGTGTTTTTTGAAAGGCTAGATGAAGAACTGAATAAGGTAAACCAGTTTTGCATGAGACAAGAGAGTGAGTTCGTAGAGAGAGGAGAAATCTTGCAAAAGCAGCTGCAAGTTCTACTACAACTCAAACAAATCCTCGTCCATCGTCGCCGGAAAAATTATCCGGCAAAAACTTCCGGTTCTGGAATATCTTCTCCCTCTCCGGCCGGCGTTTCCGATTTCTCCGGTCAGTTCTCAGCTCCACCATATATATATATATATATATTTTGTTTAATTCCTATATGTTCCTCTCCACATATATTCTATACACAATCCTTTTTATTTTATTTTGGCATTTATATTTATATAGTTTGAGGGACAGACAGATAATTCATATCTAATATGGTAAAGTGTATAAAAAATTCACTGCTGTCCGCTTACTTTTGCCTGTGAGTGCTGCTGGCAGCTGCGTACTTGGCATGGAAATTGTTGGGTGGGCCTAATCATAATATGTGGAAAAATGTCTGCGCCACACGTGGTTGTATATGGGCAAAAGTGCATGTTTGGTAGTTTAATTTCACACAATATATTACTATTTGATTTTTTTCCCTTAATTTTATAGGGATATTTTCACCCATTTAACTCCAATGCTGTTAACAAAAATTGTTTACATTAAAATTTTGAATAGTGAGATATTTTTAAACGCTAACATATTGATTTTTATTTTTAAAATAATGGTGATTAGTACAAGTACATAAAAAAAATCATCAATTAAAACCAACAGCATTAGGATTAAGTAATTGAAAAATTGTTTTCTTAAAAAAAATTAAGGGATTACATTAAAGCTTCATATAAAGTTAAAGGAGTAAAACTACATTTTTACGTTAGATATATATAAAAAATATAAACCTTGAATTATTTCTAGATAGCTCCCAATTATTCAATTAGTTAATTAATCTGTTATTCGATAAAGTATGTTTTTCTTATAAAATAATTTATTTTCTGAAACTTCAATTACACTATATGGGAACAACACGTTAATTATTTGTCACGTTCTATTAGTAAAGTTACCGGCGAATTAATGATGTATGGGATGATTATTTGTACAATTTTATTCTAAGTGGGTTTATTACGAAGTTTTGACTTTTGAAAGCCAAAAAAGAAAAAAGAAGAAAATTGTTTCTCCATATAATTCCAAGTTTTGATTCTACTTTTAGTGAGGAGGGAGGACCCCACATGGGATTGCTTCCCTTCCGGCATTAGTATTAATGCAGATGCAGCTTCGAGTATAGGAGCACGTAAATCTATATAGTTGAATTTGCGGCGACAAAAAGAAAGTTATCACGAGATGTTTGTAATTAATACATATTTAAAATTTTTAAAATAATATTTAATTTTTTTCCTTTTTATATATTGGAAAAATTTATTATTATATTAGTTCTTATCGATATAACAAATATTGAAGATTATATTTCTAATAATGATTAATTAACTTGTATACTAAGTATCACGTATTTGTATGTCTTTTATTTGATGATAGGCCTTTATAATGATCAATTTACTGTCAAAGATGTAAGTTTTGAATTTTTGTTATGAGTGTCATGGATATATAAATGCAGAAAATAATGAAGAATCAGATGAAACAAACTCAGAAATTTCCCAGACTGATGAAGTGATGCCAGCCATGGGTGTAAGCTGCTTTGTGAGCAAAACAAAGAAGAAAAAGCCGAAGACGGCAATGAGGATTGAGATTCCGGCAACGACGCCAACACGAGCAATCACGGCAATCACTGCGAAGCTGTGGGACGATATTATAACAAACCCTAAAAAGGAAGGATCCATGGAATACATCAACAAGAGGAAAATACAGTGTGCTGAGAAAATGATAAGAAAGACCTTTGTGGAGCTCTACAAAGCCCTTGGCTTGCTCAAAAGATACAGGTATATATTTTCAAATATATTTCCTCGCTTCATTGTTTTTTTTTTAAATTTATTTATAAGAATTAGTTCTGTTAATTTTCTTTTGATATTAATTAATTAATTAATTAATATATTTTAATAGTGTTAGCAAAATGCTTTTCTGGGAACACATTTCATGGGGTGCTCATCTCAGAATTTGGACGGTCTAAATCTTATTTTATTTCACCATCATGTTTTTAATAATTTATAATTGAATAGGTACATAATTTAAAATAAAAATAATTTTTTAATTGTCATATTTTTCAAATAAAAATTTAGGTGATATAAATAGATTTTGAGCGGTTTAGATTATTTGATGAGAATACGGTGCTCATTGCTATGATAAATTTCCAACATAAACATGTTTTAGGGAAAAAAAAAAGATTTAGTCCAATATCTACTATACTCGAGAACATGTTTGCCTGAATTAGAATAAGGGAAATAAGGCTAAATACGATCAATTGCATGACAAATCACACAGGCTCATTAGGTTTTTAATTAGTAGATGCATGCTTAGCTTATTCGTATTTTTTTCAAGTTAAATAAGCTCCTAGAATGAGATATAGGGATCTACATTTTCTAATGCTTGGCCGTTCTTTAGTGGCTTTGTAAACTCAACTTAACCTTTACTTTCAATGCATTTTAATCTTTTATTAAGGGGGAAAAAATACAATATGCATAGGGTCCATCCAATTGAAGGGATACACACACATATAATGGTTATATGCCTTTGTTGTTATTTCTAATAGGACAAACTTAAAAATTAAAAATTTTAATTTAATAATTTAAAAGTCTTCATTAATTATTCACAGTAAATTTTTTGTGATTTTTAATAGATTTTTGTTGTTATTCAATCACAAGATAACTTTAGAAATTAACAAACACAATTTAACAATTCACCAGTTTTTATCTGCTATTCACAACAAAACTTTAGTAATAAAGTTGTTACGGAAATTCTGGCTGGATAGTGACCGGTCGCCAGCTAGGTGCGTTTGAAAAAGGGCAAATGAGAGGTGGCTTTAGATTAAAAAAATAAAGGGGAAATTGCAAAAAAAGACCTTGGAATTATAAAAACGCAGATAGGGACCCTTGACAACTTCACTTTGGGTTTTGACAAGAATAATATGCCCTGAAGTTGTCAAAACCCAAAGTGAAGTTGTCAAGGGTCCCTATCTGCGTTTTTGCAATTCCAAGGTCTTTTTTTGCAATTTTCTCAAAAATAAAATGAGAAGTAAAATGTCTAAATTCACAAATCTCACATAGACCAATAAGAAATTTGTGAAAATTATCAACCTGGCTTAGGACTTCTCTATTTCGACTTTAATGAGATTTTTCCTTATATTATGCAGAATCGCTATTTTCAAATGAAAAATGAACAGAATACATGGTCTTGGTAATTCTAAATTTCAAATATTAACCACAGTAGGAATATAATACGTTTTTGCGTGGCCATTATTTCTGGTACATAATAATTAAATAAGAAAACATACAAAGTCAAACGTGTTTGATTCTAGCCTTTGAGGGGGTGGTGAATTTCATGAAGTTTTCTAATTACTATATTTAATACAAATATTAAACTTGATTGTCTCAGAATTTCTAATAAATTAAAATTCTCGCTCATTTTGGCAGTTCATTGAATTTGTTAGCTTTCACAAAGATACTCAAGAAATTTGACAAGGTAAGTATATATTATTGTCACGAAAGTGTTTTTTATATTGGTTGACGTCTCAAATTTTAATTCCCTAATTGTGTCATGTGATGATTAATTATACTTTCATTTTTAATACTACCTCTAGTCTTAATTATAAGACCTCGTTTGTAGTTTACAAATAAGGTCTTATAATTAAGACTACAGTTAGTATTTGGGTATGTGGGGCAAAGGGTTTCCACTTCCTTTCCATCTACTTCTCATCTCAACTATAAAATTAAAATTTTAACAGTCCAGAATTAAAATATCAAATTTTAGCCAGCATAATTCAGAGAAATAATAAAAAATATTTTATAAAGTTATTTTCTAAAATATGAAACTTGAGTTGTTAAAATATCAATATTTTTAGTTGAGATGAGAAGTGAATGAAATTAAGGAAAAAGGAAGTGGAGAGATACTTTACCTAGTATGCGTATATATGTGGCATTGTTGTTGGTGCTTTAGATTATATTCTTCAAAATTTAAACAATTTACCTTTCTACTGTAAATAATGTTACTACACTTAAACTTTAAGAATTTGTATTCTTAAAGTACAATTCATATTTCATACCAACTACTCCCTTTGATTTTATACGTAGGAGTTAGATATATAATTAATTTATGAAAATTTAAAAATAATTAAGTTAAATTCTTATAAAATATGTGTATGGGTTATACAAAAATATCCCTTTTGATTATTTACATGTTAGTCCCAAAAAAAAAAGTATTTACATGTGAAATTATTCTTAAAATTCCCCTTTTTTTTTGGGTAGTATTCTTAAAATTCCCCTTTAATATGTGCATTATTATAGGAATAGTTTAAGAAAACGATATCACACCTTACTTATAACATACCTTAGAATCTATTTAGAGCCATTTCAAACCACTTTGGATGGTCTTGAGCTCAAAAATTCTATAAAAACACTAATTTTCAAATTTTTACTGTTCACTATATGTTTTTTTAGATTTCAGGTCTAACTTTAAAAAATCATAACTAATTCTAGAAAAATCGTATGGAGATGTTCTAAAATTTCACGGAAAGCTCTTTCAATGTTCTTTAAGGAAAAAAAAATCCAATTAGATTTATCCTTGCCCAATTCGTACAGTTTATTGGATAAAAATTACTGTTTATTTGGTAAAATCTGGATCTTCCAAATTCTGTGCCTCAACTTTGGATCTCCTTGTGTGCACATCCAATTGAGGTGATTTACCTCTCATTTTAAAGCTTGAGATGTATACTATAAGCCTAATCAAATTTCATAGCTTAACTCATTCATTTGGTAGGTCAAATTGAAGCTCGAAACTAACTACTCTAGGACCTACGTTTTATCCTTTCACCTTTGCTTGCCTTAACTTTGTCTTTCATCTTGCTGGACTTAGTACACTCTTAATTACAATCATCCAACATAAAGTTTTTCTTCATTATTCCTCTTCTTTTTTAGGCAAACTTAACTCTCTACTATAGCCACTTCTTTTCCTTTACTTTTGGAGTTTGAAGGCCCTAGGGTTTGTTTAAATATTGGGGTAAGATTCTTGGGGAATCTTAGTAGCACTGCATACATTACTATGGTTACACATCACAATGTAATTCAAGCTACATGCATACATATATACTTGAGTATTATGTACTTGCCATGGAAAAACATAACATCATAACATAACATATCATCTCAAACTTGCATAAACCAAGGTATACATACATGGAGGCATCATGGCATAACATCATAACACATAGCACTGAACATACAATGTATAGTAACTCTAATAAGCAATGGAATGCAAAAGCTACCTTGTTGGCTTTCTTCCTTGAATTTCTCTTCTTGACTAGATCTTTGCCCCTTTGTTGTGTATAGCCTATTAGGCAACTAATGACACAACATTAAGCATTACTTCAACTCCATAACTTAACATAACCCTTTAAACCTCTTTTTTCTTGACTTTTAGAGTTTATTTTTCTAGCTTTGATTCTTGAACTTTCTTGGACTTTTCCTGTATAATTTGTCATGTAGAATCCATTGATCATATTAGTTTTACGAAAATCCAATCCCTTCCCATTGAACTTGACTTGGTCAAACACTATATATAATTATAGGAAAAAGGATTTTCAACAAAACTAACATGTGATCACTTAATCCTTAACCTTTAACTGTACCTAATCTTAATCATACATAACATAAACCCTTCCTATCCATTTTGATAAAATTTGGGCAGTACTTCCCCTGAGAAAAATGACTTTCCATCATCATCAAAATAGTATAAAACCAACATATAACCATTATAACTAGAAATAAAAGAGTTGTATAAGCTTATATATCTTGCTTCCAAGTGACTTCCTCTCACTAGAACTCTTCTCTTTCTCTCTCTAAATGAAATTTTGAAAGAGTTTCCCTACTTGAATGGCCTTGCATGAAATGAACATGTGGGGGGTATCTATAGGCTTCATATTTTATTAATTCCACATATGCCCTTCTTGCATAAGACTTAATCTTGGCCTTCTAATATTTTTACCTCTTTCCAAATGTACAAATCTTAAGTTATGAGGCCTAATATGTTGACACTTGGATGGTGAGTCATTAGGGTTTATGTCATCTCTTCTTATCTATTAAGATTAATGAGACTTTAATCAAGGTTAACTCTCTTAATTCGTTGATTAACTTGACTAATTACTCTTCTAGAAGCTTTTGACTTTTTAAAGATAGATGGTTGAATCCTAGCCATCCAATGAACCATGTTTTCCATGTGTCAAGATTTTATGGAAGATGACTTAACCATAATCATCTTATTTAACCCTAATTAGATTTTAATCTAACTTGATTTATTATTTTCTTTTTCTTTTTCTTTTTATTTTCTTTTTTCCTTTCTTAGCCAATTTGGCCATGACATGTGTCCTTGACATTCTGTCAGAAATTTGTACTACCCCGGTTGTCCTGACAATCCACTGAGTCTCAATATAATATTGAATTATTTTATCTGATAGCCAAAAAATTTTAGTATCTCAGAATTCTTATATCAGATCACCATTAATTATATCTCAATAAAAAAAATTTCCTGATTAATTTCATAATTTTTCTCCCTTTATAACTCTTTAAATTACCGTTTTCGTAAAAATAGACAATTTATCAATATTAATTTATCTTTAAATTCAATTAAAGCTAACATTTTCATCATTTAAGGTCGAAAATAATTTTATAAATCTTCATAATTTCTAAATAAATTTCTTTTAATTTTTCATAATTTTTTGAGATCTCTAGGTATTTTTAATAATTAATATTGGCCAATAAAAGGCACATATATGGCGCCACCTTAAAGGAGTAGCGGGGAAAAATAGTCAACACTATTGACTAATTAGTCATCCTTATTGAGTCATAGAGTAAAATTTTTGCTCTATTGAGTAGATAGGAAACTGTCTAACACCTACCCGTATTACATTCTAATTTTTCTACTGCCCATAAAATATCTTCTGGTGACTTATATAATGACTCATCACCCTCATAAATGAAGCACATGGGAAAGAAGAAGAGAATTCAAGTTGAACTTGTCTTTTTGAAAATATCTAAGATATTTTCTAGCTTTGTCTCTTAATTAAGAGACATTAATTATTTAACATTTGACTAGAGCATTTTATCTAATCCTGAACTCCAAAAATTCATCTATTTATACCATAAAATTTGTTTAATTCTATAGAAAATCTATGATTTTTTTCATATCATAACTCAGACCATAAGTATTTCTTTTTAAATTTCCCATAACAAACATATAAACTGCAATTCTGGCCTTAAAAAATTTTAAAGCCATTCTGCTGGTCTTCTAAGCTTGAGACTAATTTTATAAATTCTGTAGCCTCTTAGATCATACATACCCATTTTACCATAATTTTCTAAGGTTTCTTTATGATTCAAACAATTAAATCTACCTCTTCATCTCAAACTAAGTCATAAACTTATAAATTCTATTTAAGCTGCCTCAAAGGTATTTTCATCATTTTTTTACAAAAGAATCTTAGAATATTATTTCCTATTTTTTGGGATGTTCTTAGAATTTTCTGTATACTTTTCATTTTTATCCATGTTGGCCGTAACTTTTTGAATTTACAGTTTAGTCCCTACTTGGACTTAACTTCATACAACCATCTCTTTGAGGTTTCTAACCTACCCCTAGGTCTGTTTCTAATTTTTTTCCTTTTCTAGGATTTTGAAACTTTACTGAAACCTCTAACTTTGATTACACCTCAGCCCCTAAAAACTTTCATTTAGCAGTTTAGTCCCTGAAACTGCTTTGACTTCCTTTCTCATCTTTGGGACTTCTGCTCAAAAAAGGCTTAGTAACCTACCTTCTTTAAGCTACTTTTAAGGCTTTTCAGTCTAAAATTTGAGGTGTGACAAACAATATAATTATAAGTTTAGATAATAAAACAAAATAATCTCCTCAATTAACTCCCACGTGATAAGAGAAATAACTTAGGTCAAGTTTTTTATATTTATTATGTAAAATTTTTCAGTTTCACCCCATCATATGTGATTGGAGAGACTCCATATAATGACTATAAAATACTTGACATAAAGATAAGGGAGAATGAAAGGGGGAAAAAAAAGAAACAAAACAAAAGAAAGAAATGAGTACCACTTATGCATGTGGATCACACTTTGTGGGGTCTACCCCTTGATTTTTATCTCTTTCTACCATTCAAGTAATTTGCACACAGACACGCATAAAGACAATACGTGAATGGAATTCCCAAAACCACAAACCGATTCACGTACGAGTCAGAACGCAACAAGTTTGGATAGCGATATGAAGCATAACATAATAAGTAGGATATTATATTTTGCAATTACCATTTTTAATGGTATATGTATGAACCGTGTGATGTTTTCTTCTCTGCTCCATTAGAAACGTCACAATGTGGCATGCCCATCACAAGTTAGCAAACATAATCACAAGGCTTTTATCCGTAAACATGAGCTATCTTGGGGGCTTGCTCTTCTCACATTTGTTGACTATGATACCCTTTATTTACAACATATAAAGTGTTAAAGTTCATCTAACATCTTGAAGTATTTTTACAAATGTATTCATTTTAAAACATTTTGTGGTGCAATTTTACTCTTAAATTATTACTTTTCTTCAAAAGTAATTTTAACATCGCCATTAACTCCTCAAAAACCCATTATGTGTGAATGTACATCAAGAAGGCTAAAGTATTTTTAGTAATTTTTTTAGGGTGTCGGATGGACTACAATGTATTTTAAAGTGTTCAATATATCTGAAAAATACTTATGGTGCTAGATGAATATAGAAAAATATTTCAGAATGTCGGAGGAAGCTTATCCTGATATTTAATAGCTTAAAGCACATTTCAGTTATTTCAGTTACATATCGTTGCTATTTATTTTATATTAGCCTTATTTATTGTTATTAAGATTAACTATTACTTTTATTTTCTATTTATAATTCATTTATTTTATTTAATATATATGTCAAAAGTAAACCATATTTTCATACTCTTTCTTATCCTAAATATAAGACCTAGTAGAAGGATTTATTTTGATCCTAAATACACAAAATCTCAATCTACTTTATCTCCTAAATTTTAAATTTTATAGTAACTCTTCCTTGTCATTGCATATATTAAAGGGATTTTTAATTAAAGGCATAGTCTCAAATATAAATGATTAAATGGGTATTTTAGAAAAATCATTATATATATTTTTACAAATAACCAACTTAACTAATTATATAGGTTTGACATTATGCTGGACCGGAATTAGTGTAACATTTTGCTTTAAAAATTGCACTCAAATATTTCAAAACATATTTTTGTAATTATATTAAAGTTCTAAAAGATTTCATATCATTCATCAGTTTATTAAGCTATAGAATTTGATCATTAAAATAAATTTGCAAGATTTAAATTTCCATGATGTATGTGAGCAGGTATCTGGTCAGAAAGCATCAGCAAATTATTTAAAAGAAGTGAAGAGATCCCATTTCGTTAGTTCTGATAAGGTATGCGTCAATGGTGCTTAAATAATTCCGAAGACCTTATTATTTTAAATTAAATCAAATTATGACTATATTAAGGACTAAGTATAATAGTATATGTTTTGTTTAATATAATATAGGTGGTAAGACTTATGGACGAAGTGGAATCCATATTCACGAAGCACTTCGCCAACAACGATAGAAAAAAAGCCATGAAGTTTTTAAGACCCCAACAGAACAAAGATTCTCACACGGTCACCTTCTTTGTCGGTAATCTGTCTCTCTCCCTCCCATACTCATCATTCTTTGCAGGTCATTAATCGATGTAATTGTTTAATAGAAAACCTATGTCGGGCTAATTAAAGACGCACCCACAAGTAAAATAAAATTAGGCTAGTTAGGAAATTAATATAATTAATATCAACTTGGGAACTGGCCTTTTTTCCAAAAAAAAAAACTATTTTTGTTTGTTTAAAAGCCTCGCTGTCAAATTGCATAATGGCAGCTCTCTCACTTTGGATTATTGTAACCCTATATCCGGGGTGATTACTTTTCTGAGCACCCATTAGGCTCAAATTACTAGGCCGGTCCGGGGGATGGATTGAACCAATGAGTTTAAAAAATATCCTTACACATGAAAAAAGGAAAAAAAAATCCCAGGTCACCAATTGAAAGAATATCCTTACATATGAAAAAAGAAAAAAAATTCTCAGGTCACCAATTTAAAGATTTCAAAAAATGTACTCCTTTAGCAATATAAATTATTTTAACCAATTCATCAATATCAAAATAATACTCCCTCTGTTCTTTATTATAAGAGACGAATAACCGAATTACGTTGATCAAAAAAATAGTTGAAATTAGTTAAGAACAATCAATGTGTGAAAAGTATAATTTTTTTTCCAAAATGCCCTCATTAATAAGGAGAGAGAGCATGAGAGAGATCAATTAAATTATTAAAAGAGAGAGAAGTAGGAGGAAGAGAGAGTGTGAGTTGGAGACAATAAATATGGCTAAAATAGGAAATCAACACAAAAAAATAGAGATAACTTTTAAGTGTCTCTTATATATAGGAACATGCCATAAGCATCAAGTGTCTCTTATAATAAGGAACGGAGGGAGTAATAATTAATTCATTAAATTTATTTTAAATTCAAAAATTTTTTAACTTTACCCATATTAAATTAAGTTGTGATGGGAGAGAAACATAAGGAGTTACATTTTAAGGATTAATTGCCAAGACAAAATTAATAAATAAGCATTAATTACTCTTTAAGAAACTTATATTTTGGACCAAGCCATTCTTCTAGAAGTAACTTATATTGTAAAATGGATGGTGTATTTATGTTTGGGAGAAGGACAATTAGGTCCAAAAAGATTTTTGTTGAAACATAATATATACAAATATCAATTCAGCTAATTGCAAATTGGAAATTAATAACAGTCAAGTCTTATAATTTGCATCTGTATGAATCATTATTGGCAATTTTTTTTTTTGACACGGTTTTTTGAGAATGTTAATGTCATTAAATGGAAGTTCAGGCCAAAAAAAAACATTCATGTTTAGGACCTTATAACTGTCATTATCCCTTATGGTGATTGAGCGTATTAAAGAGTTTCTATTAAAAAGTAATTTCGATATATATGATTAATAGAGATATTTTAGGGAAGATAATATCTATTTATTATAAATAATTAAGTTAACTAATTTTTTAATATTCATAAATTAGTTATTGATCTAAGTTTTATATTAAGCAACGGAAGTATTATTAGATAGAGTGCATCAAGAGAAGCCATAGTATTATTTGTGACCTATAAATATTGTCATTCTTGCATGTGGAAGCCGCAATGTTCAATCCTTTTAGTTTCCTAACTGGTTTTAGGTTACCCCTTGCACTAATTCCCTATATATTGTATATATTGAGTCAACCTCTTAATTCTAGAGTAAATTTATATTTGAGTTGCTAAATTTAAGGAAAAATTAACATGTAGGAGACGATATTAATTGAAGGTTTTTATATATATGGGCCAGATTTAATGCTCTCTCTTTCTCTCATTTTGTTACCGCGCATATGCGTACAGGTTTGCTTACAGGTTGTTTTGCGTCATTGTTCTGTGTATACGCAATATTGGCTCATATCTGCGGCATATTCTCGTCTTCCACAGAACCAGCTTATATGCAAACTGTTTACCCTGTCTTCAGGTACTATCTATCATTCATTTTCTCTTGTGAAAAATGATTATAGCTTTTTGAACGCCATTGCAAAGATAACGCTGCGCGTTTGGTCCCCAACTTTATATAAGATTTCAGTTTGTATATAAAATTAAAGGATTAAAATCAAACCTTATGTTATAAGTTAAAGGATTAAATGTGCACTTTAGTTTTATTTCATTCCATATTCCAATTCTTTGTGTGCATTTTGGTCTATGAAGTTTTGACTTAGTTGTAACTTAATTCCTCAACTTTAACTCGATGCAACATAGTTTCTATAATTTTAGCTTGACTGGAACCTGAACTTTGACTTGCTAAAACTCATCGATCCCTATAGTTTCAACCTTTTAAAATTTGTCTCTTTAGTTTTAAAAATCATTGTTATATATTTCATGAAGTTTAGGGGCTAACATTTTAAATGGTTAATAAAACTATAAGTATTGAGTTATACCAAATTAAAGTTTAGGGATTATGTTACAACTAAGTCAAAACTATAAGAACTAAAATATTAATTTTTTGGACAACGAATTTAGTAGATGAATAAATTTAAATTTAATACAAAATTTCACAAGAACTCGTAGAATACATTTGGTATTTTATATTGATATTGATTATTACATGGAATCATATTAGATTGATTCGATGCTTGACACATGAGAAATGTGCAGTGTGTTTGCATTGTTGAGCTTGCACTTGTTTATGTATGGATGCAACCTCTTCATGTGGAAGAGTACAAGAATAAACTACAACTTCATATTTGAGTTCTCACCAAACACGGCACTAAAGCACAGAGACGCCTTCCTCATATGCACTGCCACTATGACTGCCGTTATTGGAGCAATGGTCATACACCTCCTCCTCAGGACTCGCGGCTTTTCTCTTTCCCAAGTTGATGTTATTCCAGGAATTCTTCTTCTGGTCAGTCAAATATATATGTAAATTAACATCAATTCCTTTTCACATACACACACATAGATAGATACAATCTTTAATTTTAATTTACCTAATTTTGGAGATAAAACCCATCTTAGTTAGTTGAGGCTCTATATAAAGGCTCTTTGATCAAAGTGTTGGAGTGTGAAGGATAGTTGAATCCTCGTTCAAGAGGGAGCTTAACATAGGTGCTCATCTCACAAGTCAAGTTTCGGGTGAATTCCCACTTTACACACACACACACACACCTTTTATTTTAATTTACCTAATTTTAGAAATTAAATACTCCTCTAGTCCTTAATGTAAGATCTAATTTGTTGAGTTAATCTTGGTCTTAAATGTAAAACCTATTTCTTTTTTTTTTTTTTTTCTAAATTACTCCAATTGATGCTCCCTCAACTATAATTAAATAAGAGAAGGATGGAAGATATTAAAAAAGATAATTATGGTATTTTAGAAAAAAACATTTTATTCTTCTTATAATTAACTAACTTAGGTAGTTTTCTTAATTTAATCAAATTAGTTAAATAGATTTTATATTAAAGACCGAAAGAGTACAAGAAAGAGCTAGAGAGACTAAGTCTGATTTATGTTCATACTTGTGTCAAACCTTTTAGCTCTGCAAGAATATAGAATTAATGGCTATAACAAGGAACGAGTGAAGGAGACACCTCCTCATCACAATTAATGTGATATCAAGTAACATATTAAACCTAATTTAATTTATGCATTTTGACTAGGTAAAAATCTTAATTAGAATGGCCCTGTCCATTAAGGAAGATCCCGAACCCAAAGTCCAACACCTATTATTTGGTTAGTTGAGCTCTATATAAAGGTGTTCGATTAATGTACTAGAGCGTGAAGAATACTTGAATCCTCATCAAATAGGGAGCTTAACATAGGTCTTTATCTCATGAGTTCTTAAAAGTTTAGGGTAAATTAAATCATCTTGAGGATGTTTGATTAGTTTTCTTGTGTATATGATTCTTGATTAATGGGATTTATTGTTATTCAGTTGACATCTAAGTTTATATATATATATATATATATATATATCTTGCCGCCATTTTGCAGTTTTTCATAGTCATTCTCATTTGCCCGTTTGACATCTTTTATCGCCCTACACGTTACTGCTTCATTCGGGTTATTCGCAACATTGTCTGCTCTCCTTTCTATAAGGTAATTAATATCCCCGTGTGTGTGTGTGTGTGTGTGTAGATTCCCTCATTAATTCTCACTCTTTTGATTATTATAATTAATGATCAAGCTTAATATTTGGATCAATGGTGCATGTAGGTTTTGCTGGTAGATTTTTTCATGGCTGACCAACTAACAAGCCAGGTTAACGGATAAGTTGATTTTGTCGTCATCAATTCTGAAATAACCGTAATTAACATATGTCAATAATCAATAATATACATTTTACATATTAATCCAGATTCCATTGTTAAGACATTTGGAAACCACAGCTTGTCACTTGTTTGCTAGGGTCTTCGACACTCACCACCCTGAGAGCTGCCATTCTGGAAGGTTGTACATTGAAACAACTTATCTCATCTCCTTCTTGCCCTATTATTGGCGCGCTCTCCAAGTATGTACATGCCTTCTCAATTTGCTTTTACTTGCAAAATTGATAGATTTTGCTCGGACAAAACTTAAGTTAAGTTGTTTATATCTATTATATCAGGTTCATGGGTAAGTTTATGAGTACTCTCTCAGGTCCATAATATGAGAAGTTGGTCAAATTTTCTCACGAATTAAGGAATGATAGTTAAGTCATTAAACATGTCCTAAAATGATACTCCTCTGATCCTATTTATAAGTAACTTCTAACATGTTTCACACAGACCAGGAAAAACCTTAAACTTCATTAACTCTCATTTCAAATTTAACAACTTTCCAACTTTATCCCTGTTTAATATATATTATACCTCATATAAATAAAGTTAACACAATAATAAATAAAGAGTAAAATTGTACATCTATGCAAAAAATTTCTCTTAGTGCCCTATAAACAGGACCAAAAAATATCTTTTCTCTCTACCCTATAAATAGAACTAGAGGAGTAAAATTTTTCTATTTTATCCTTAAAGAATGTGATTGAAAAAGTAATAAAGTATTTTTTTAAATACATTTTTATTATTTCTTATCTCTCTCCCTCTTCTCCCTACATTTAAAACTATCTCATAATTTATATGGGTAAAAGTTAAAAAACGTCATTAATTATCACGACAACTCATATTTTGGACCATTAGTTCCTTCTAAAAGACTTCCCACATTATGGACCGAAGGAAGTACATATACATGTACATTTTAACAACTAACAAGTATAATTGAAGAACTTGCCTTAATGGATATAAACAAATTGACTTCAGTTTTATCCGTTCTATTATACACACATATATATAGCATCAGCATCATTAGACTAATAATCTATGTCGTATATATGTATGAATGTTGGTACAAGTGTGCGAGGAGGTGGTTCGATGATTCTAATGATTTGAACCATCTGGCAAACATGGGGAAGTATGTTTCAGCCATGGTGGCAGGAGGAGCAAGAGTGACATATGGCAGAAGAGAGGACAATCTATGGTTTGCTATCGTTTTGATAACTTCTGTTGTAGCCACTATCTATCAGTTGTATTGGGATTTCGTTAAGGACTGGGGCTTTCTAAATCCCAAATCAAGAAACCCATGGCTCAGAGATGATCTCATTCTAAAGAACAAAAGCGTTTACTACCTATCTGTGGTAAATCTTTTATGTTCCCTCCGTTTCTTTTTATAAGCCACACTTTTTTGAATATATGTTTTTCTATAAGCTATATACTTTAGAGATGTCTAAGCATTTAATGCATTTTCCTATTTTTACCCTCGATTAATTAATGTCTCTCTCAGATATTCTTACTATTAATTCTCTCTTCCAGCCCACATTTTTCATAAATTAAATAAGGGTGCTTTTAGGGGAAAAAAAGTTGTAGTTTTTAAGATATTTCTTGTTTTTAACATATTTTTACCAACTTTTCTATCTATGTAATTCAGTTATTTGTATCTTATAAACTAATATATGGCGTGCAGGCCTTGAATGTTGTACTGAGAGTGGCGTGGGTTGAAACTATAATGCATCTCAAAGTTGGACCTATTGAATCAAGAATGCTAGAGTTTTTGTTGGCTTCATTGGAAGTTATTCGTCGAGGCCATTGGAACTTTTACAGGTTCTTTAATTTTTTTCACCTTCAATACTTTTGGAATACTTTACTGAACTCAATTCAATATATAACTATTAGTGTGAAGTTTTCATCTTTTTATCATCTAATAATAAATGTGATATATATATATATATATATATATTATATAAAGCTAATTGACAAGTTGGTTCATCATCCCAACAGGTTGGAGAATGAGCATTTAAATAACGTGGGCCATTTTCGAGCAGTAAAGGCAATTCCATTGCCATTTCGAGAGGCCGATTCTGACACTTGAGGCGGTTTAATTTTGTCACACGTGATGAATATGTCCTCTAAAAGTTTCTGACACACAAACATCTGTGTGTGTGTGTGTGTGTGTGTGTGTGTGTGAGGGAATATATGTACACAAACAATGCATGCATCTTTTAATTGATTAAGAATTTAGATCCCTCACCACAAAAGTGTATTTTAGAGGACATTTCTTTTGTAAATTATTGATTACTTCCCTTAGCTTGGCAGAAATCTGAATTTTCAAAGGAAGTCTTTCAAATGTTTCACCTCCATTTTCGTTTTGTTCAGATGGGTTTCGTGGTATTAGATGCTTCGTGTCTATATCTAATATGCTAGCTAGCTATATTTGGAATTATTAGGCTAGTGAGTTTTGTTCTTCTTTCTTTCTTTCCGCTCATTTGTTTTTTAAAAGGAACGATGACATATGAGTACCTCTAAGATAGATTATTACATCTAAACAACAACAAAATATTGATTCTTGCAAAAAGAAAAAACCAATGAATTATTTACTAAGATAAGCCCTGAATTGTCGTATTGGGGTTACTCTAAAATAAACCAAAATTATGCAATATATTGTATAAAGAGTCAAAATGAAATTAAATCCTAAGTAACTAAATGCAATGCAACCTAAACAATACAACGGGTTTTAATTTGATTAGCTGTCAACCAAATACCATGAATTAAAATGAATTTAAAAGACTTATTTTTTATTTAAAAGGGAATGATAGTGAATGGAATAGAACCAAACACACAAGAAAACAATGATAAAGAATAATCTTCCAACTCAATAGTGCAGGCATTCATAATTTTGATGAATATGGGAGTTAGAAACGGTGAATTAAGAATCATAATGAAGCTTTTATTCCAACAACTAAGACATCTCGAATTGTCACAATATTTTCTAAAATCCCAAACTGCAACTAGAATAGTAATATGGAATTATGAATGCTAAAATCCAATGCTTAATTATAACTAAGTAATTCAAAACAGTATAATTAAAGCTACAAAAGAATTTTTGATTAAAAAAAAGACTTTTTGATCTAAGATTCAAGCCACCTTAGAAAATCATAATATATTAACTCCAAAGTCAATACAAATGTCATAACTGCAACACTGTAATTAAAATAAAAGCCATAAATAGTCAAATATCAAGCTAAACATTACAGAGCTCCTAATAATCAGAAAAACTATCCTAGGACTAAAAATTGTTAAATAATTAATGGGTAGAAGATTATAGTAGCTAAAATTGCCCCATAAAAGATTCAAGCTTATGCTATTACCACTAAATCAAAGGATCATGAAGCTCTAGTCACGGTTTGCCATGAAAATCATTGCCACCAGCAAGCTTTCACACCTACCCATGAAGAACCACGAAGAAGATTTCAACATTTGCCTAGAAAAGTCGCAGGCTAAAAATTAGGATTTTTAAGGCATATAAACAACTTTTTAATTGCCATATCTTATGAATTTAAATCCTTAACTTCTGTAATCATTCAAACCAGCAAACATTAGGCACTATAACACTTCTCAAGAGATGGGAGCATTATTCGTACAAGCATGTATCACAATATTTACATAAATCCATAACTCTTATAATTAAATAACATGTGAAATGCATAATATTTCATAACAAATCTCCTTAAGCATCTACATTCTTTCCATTGTCCCTTAATAAGCCAACCCATATCAATCAATTTCATATAGAGGGAGTGAGATTTCAAAGAAATCCTAGTAGCAAAGAACAACAATCCTAGTATTAAAAATCCAAGGTTAGTTCGTGCCATATGCAAGTATTAATCTCATGCAATTACATATATTATCATGCCATTAGTATGTCATGAAAAAGGAGCACATAACATACCATTCAACAACTCAATTGCACATATTTGTCAAGGCATCAATGCAAGGAGTTAAACACATGTCATCATTCAAAACTCAATCACATCATGACATAACACACATAGCAAAAACAACAAATGCAATTTAATACTAAAATTATAAGTCCTCGCTACCTCTTAACAAACTTAATTCCTTAATTCCTTGTTATTGTTCTTGAGCCTTCTCTTGCTCAATGCCAATGCCTATCAAACAAATAATAATGACATTTCAAATCAACTCAAATAATTCCATTAAACACTTAACCTAAAAGCCTAACCCTTTAAACTTTATTTTAGGGTTTTAGGATCATCTTCTTTAACTTAACTCCAATATGCTTTTCCTACATGATTTTTCATGTAAAATTCATATATGAACTTAAATTTATCAAAATACAACTCCTTCTCCTATTTCTAGCTCTGTCCGAGAGGTATGCATTAGGGTTTAAAAATTTTATTTTCGATTTTAATGCTTCCAAACACATGTTCTCCACATATTCTTATACAATTTTACCTCCCAAACTCATTAGAAGCATCAAATTAACAAAAATCAAACCCTAGCTTCAAGAACCGGGTTTGGCCAAATTGCACCTCTAGGTTTCACAAGTTGGAATCCTTTCAAAAATAAAGTTTAAACACCATCATCCAACCATTTTCTATCATCTAATCCATATATAAACTTTAAATCATTCATATCTCATCTTGCATCAATTGGACAGCACCAATCTCTAGGATTTCTAACCTTTAACTTCCATCCAAACCATGTTTAAAGCTAACATTTCATATAGCATCATGAACTAGAAGGAAAATCATGCTCTTACTTTGATTTAGGACTTGATTTCACCTAGGTTTAGCTTGATCTTATTCTCTTCCTTCTTCTCCTTCACTTGACCAAAATTCTCCTCTCCCCCTTGCTCTTGAATGTTGGCCGAAATTTTGCACCAGAAGGGAGGTTGTATATATAAAATTGGTCTAAAAATTTACCATATAGTAACTTCTTTAAGTTACCATTTACCTCTCCTAACACTTGTCATCATCTTGCTTTAATTCCCTTGTGATTTTGCCACATAAGCCCACTTAAACATTCAATGCCAATGTCATCTCATAGGACACATCACATGCCACCTATTTGTAAATAGTAATTTTTTATTAATTTATTCATTTTTTCTAATTTTGCCATGGACAAATTGTATAATTCCATCCATGTCCTCCCCTCCATTTTTGGCACCATTTCATGCATAAAAATGGGAAAAAAATTTATCCCACCAAGCTTTTGGTTATTTCATTGCATAATCTCACAATATTTGTTGAATTTTTCTTAGATCCTGTCAAATCCAGTACTTTCAAAAATTTATTTCTTTGTGCCAAAAATTTTTTTTATTGAGGAGAGGTTCCCATATATTTCTCAGGGAAAAATTCAACCTATAACTCATTCTATTCAATTTTCCTGAAATCAACTTTTGCCAACAAAATTTGACTTTAAATATTTTTAAAGCTAACCTCTACATCTCTCGATACCTCTACATATTTTAAATAATTCATTTTTCATGAATTATTGAGGCCTCTACATATTTTAAATATTTCATTTTGACCAATTTCTCCCTAATTAGCCAAAATTTCTTGAAATTACAAAAAATTCTAAAATAAATTATTTTCATGTTGTTTTTATCTTTTAGGCCTCAATCACTACTCTAGACCCTTTATTCTATTTTTCATGAATTTTTGGAAATTTTTAGGAATTTTGGGCATAATTTTCTTTTCTACCTTTTCTAGACTGAAACTTTTTAAAATAATAGTCTGGTCCCTGTCTAGGTTTCACCTCAAAAGTTGTTCCATTTATATCTCTACTTCACTTCTTGGCCCACAGTCAATCCTAAATTCCTCATTTTCTATGTTATAATTAACTAAACATGACATGGAGTATCTGTTTTCAATGGACTGGACGTAGGCCCACTCTTAAGTTCCCATTGTTTAGTATTCTCAGATGCCTTGTGAAAATCCTCATTGAGAGAATCAATGAGGGTTGAATCTAACAGAGTAGACTATTTTCTTATAATGTGGTAAACCAAAATTCAAATCTCTATTGGGAGAGAAGCTTGCATTTAGCGCTTGATAGTCCTTTAAATAGAATTACGTCTAATAAAAGGATAGCTGTGCTTAACAAATTAAAAAAAAAAATTCTTCTTGAGCGATGTGCATACATTTAGTGTCTTATAATACTTCAAATAAATCTCCACATAATAGAAGGATATATGAGCTTAATAAAACAAAAAAAATCGTGTGAGAATGCTGAGAACAGCACAAACTGTGAGGAAATGCCAAATATACTACTACTAAAATGAGTTATATAAATGCACATATTGAAGCGTTTTACATTTTTCAGAAATCTCTTATAACAAAAGCAAGGTCCTTTACAAACACTCCTAAAGGGTAGACTTTTGAGAGAAATTCTATATGAAAATGCTCCCGACGTTCCAATTTTTTCAGTTTTTATTCTTAAATAAACATTAAAACATACAAAAACATTATCTGTATGAATGACCGTTTCCCGAAGGATGGGTATTTATGTATTGGGCTTGTAGATGATTACTTGTTATTTGGGTCTCAATACCTAAAGCCTAATTGTTACTTTAGTAGGCCTTTTGGGTCTCAAAGTTATCACTTGTTTTGTGTGATGAACTGGTTCAGAATACAGGTTTTGTAAATAAGGTGCCTAGCCCAAATCTAATTTTTCTTGGGCGTGGCTCTTGCTTGAGCTAGGATTTAATCAAGGAGTTTGGCAATTTTTGGCTAAATAAGCTTGGATTTCTTTTATTTTTCTGCTTTGACTTGTGTTTTTCTTTTCTTTTCTATTTAAATTTTATTTTTCCTACTTCTTTTTCTTCTCTTTTCATTTTTTCTACGTATAGGTATTCTTTTATTGGAAACAATTTTATTCAGATACTATCAGGCACTAATGTGGATACTTCTTTCAATACGATTTGAATTTTACTTCATTATATTGTGAGGGAGTGGCTTTTTTTTTGCTAGACCGAATCCCAGTTAATACTTCCTTTTCTTTTAATATGGCACCATTTGTGTTCCTCTTGTTGGGCCTAGGCTATGTTTGGGTTTATAGTAAAGTAGAGAAAAGCATAGGGCAAACTTAAAAAGCCATGGTGCAGTCTACTTTAAGTAATTTCTCATGTTTGGATTCGGCTTATAATCAACAAAATTTTATACTTTATGAGCTGATTGGGTTTTCAGGCCTAGGATTTCCTTTTTGGGCTCCTCTTTATCTTGACCGAAATTCTCAAAACTACCCTTCTTCCTTTTATGTAAGTTGCAATAATGATCCGTTTTAGTAATACTGTGGTCATTTGGACATTTTTGAGTATTTTTCACAACCAATCTCGACGCTAATCTGGCTTTCGGCCTCAGAAAGTTTTCATTTTAGTCACCAAAGGTTTTTCTTCCAATTTTCACTAGATTAGATATTAATTTCTCAAAAATAAGTTTTTTCCTTCCTACGAGGCTTTCTCAAGTTCCTGAACAACTTTTCATATCTTAGTATAATATCACTAAATGGAATCAAATGACGTCCTTCATATTTTCAAGACTCCCTATCAATTTTTCATTATTTTCTCTAAAGACAACTAAGTTTTTTTTTTAATAGTAATTTTAGGGCTTAGTTCGTAAGGCCATCTTTTATCCTTTCTCGCAATGACACTTTGGAATACTTTAATTTCCAGTTCCTGGAAAATTTTTGAAAATTGAGATTTTTGGGTGCTAAAATGAGCAGTGAGAGTTAATCTTTGAATTTAGTTAGCAAACACTTTAAGTTTGATCATAAGTACATAGGTTGCACGAAGGTCACAATATACCATTCCAAAGTCATAGAACTCAAAGCCTGAAGTTGTAAGGGAAAAATTATCATAAAACGTTTATGAATTTACTGTATCAAGCATTAGAACCAAACAAGTTTTATAGTAATATAAGAATGAACTCAAAAAGGCATATTTTTTTGGCACAACAATGTTCAGTCAAGTACACTAGAAAACCACACTTGAATGAAGAACAAATTAGAACTTTAAAAATTATTCCATTCGCAAAGATTCCGTGATTCTCTTAGCAATGCAATATGCTGTAGATTGGATAGTGATCATGGGATTGACACCAATAGCTGTTGGAAGCAAACTTGCATCACAAACAAATAGTCTTGCGGCTTCCCAACTCTGCCCCTTCTCATCAACAGCACTTCCCTCCTCAGAAACTCCCATCCTACAACTTCCCATCTGATGAGCAGAACTACATAAAGTCCATTTTTCTTGGAGTGACAATGGCCCTCCTGCTACATATATTGAGTCCAAAAACTCCTTCACATCATTCTCACTTGTTCCGCCGCACTTAATTCTTTGCCCGTTGCTTTGGTGTGTGCCTACTTCGATGGCTCCTGCTCCAATCAGAATCCTCAGTGCTTGCTTCAATCCAGCCTTGAGGTTCTCTTTATCATCCTCATCTAAGTGATATCTCACTCTTCCTTCCTTCTTAACTTCTCCTGATCCTTTGTCCTTAATAATAGTTATGAAATGAACTGTCCTTGAATATTTAAGCATTGTTTCTTTGAAACCTTGCCCAGAGACCCAAGGGAACAATGAAGCAAAAGCACCTGGCCCTAACGCAGGAGTTTCAACTATAGCTCTTACTTTGGAGTCCCCTGATAGGACCTTATGGACAGATGTGATTATTCCTCCCTCATAGCATTTTCCCTGAAGATCAGATACTGAATCCGGGAAGTAGCCCCACGCCATTAGCACCGGGTGAAGATGAAGGTTCTTGCCGATGTTCTTGTTTTTTAACCCACTAGAGATCATTAATGGGGGTGTTAAAAGAGCACCAGCTGCTGAGATTGTCACTGTGGCTTCAACTTGTACCCTCCATTTGATATGGTTTCTTAGTGATTTTGCCATCACACCTAAACACTTCTTTTTCCTCCCATATTTTCTTCCCTCGTTGTTTTGCAACACAAATCTCTCAGCTTTGCATCCTGTCAATATTACCGCACCATGATTAACAGCATCAACAAGCCATGTAGTTTGAGTCCCTTGTTTATCCCCTTGCCTGCAACCATAGTTGCAAAAGCCACAATGATGATGTTTTGATGAATTTCGCGGAACATAATCAACTTGAAGACCAAGATTCTCACAACCTTTCCGAAGGGCTTGATTCTGGAGACCTTCCATTGAACATTTATCTGTAACTCCAATTCTTTCACACACCAAATCCATGGCCGACACATATTCAGAGCCCCAAAACATTGATAACTTATGCTTCTCTGCCCATTCCTTAAGCACATATTCTGGTGTTCTTATAGATGCTGACCAATTAATGGCAGAACCACCACCTACTGTTGAACCTGCCAATATTGCCATATTGCCATCTACAGAAGCCATAGTTCCTCCAGATTCATAAAGTTCATCCATGGAAGGCCCTTCTAAAGAAGAATAATCCATAGCAGTAAAGTAGTTTCCTTTCTCAAGAACAAGCACTTTCAGGCCAGAACTTGCAAGAACAGCAGCTGCAACGCCTCCACCACAGCCGGACCCAATAACTACTGCATCACATTTGATTCTGAGGACATTGCTTTTGGCATCCGTAACAACTTTGAGACCTTTCTGAGAAAGTGATAAAGGCAGACTCGAGTTAGTTTCATACATAGCTTCCACCATTCCCTTATCAAGAGGCCTCTCCTTATTCTCAAAGCTACTTGCTTTCTTCTCTTCAGCAGATACATCATACCCAATGGCTTTCCATGTAGGGTTTTCACCATTTTCATCAACCTGTATGAAAGGCAAATTTAAAGCATAAACTAACAAACAAAAAATGTGGTTATTGTCAGACAAGTATCGAGCATGCCTTGAAATTAACAAAACATTAGGGTGCTTCATAGATTTTGTTTTCAACAAATGAGGGATTACCTGAGAGAAGAAGACCCAGACGCAGAGGACTTTGATGTAAAGAAATGCAAGTCTAATTGGTGTGAGAAACCGATGCTGGAGCCACTTTTGCACGATCTTTTCTCTTTTCTCCAAAGAGATATTTGAGAAGTTATTGATGAAAGGCCAGGTATCAGTAATACAAAGAGAACCACAGAGCAATAAAGTACCCAATCTGGTCGCTAGCATCCATAAAATCACTCTAATTAAAATTAGTGCCTCTATAATAGCTCTTTTCACTAGTATCTCTGCAACCTGTATCGATTTCAAATGTAAACAGTGATTAGGGTAAGAAGAGGGGAGACATTAACCTTTGAATGGCGGATCGATCACCAGAGCGGAAAAAGTTCGTCCGTCAGGAAAAATAGAATACCATAAAAAACAAATAGAATGTTATCTAGTTTTGATTAGGATAAAGGTTCACCGAATTTTATTTTTTAAGGCTTTGTTTGGTTCAGGAGAGGAGAGGTTAATTAAAAAAAAAAATTTTGTTTAAGGATCGCAGTACAGAATTAATTTTAAAGAGCTCCTAAAACTTTTTGAAACTTCACTGCAGGATCAAGGAAGCAAACTGATATTAATTCTACAAAGAAAATGACGTTATTGCCCCTCATAATACTTATTGCAAGGGGACATGTAAATGGACTAATTTCAGTTGTAAATAAAGATATGTATGTTGCAAATTGACTAGTTCCACTTACAAATAGGCTCTCTAACACTTGTTCACTCATGGACACTTTTTTTAGGTGAAAGAGGTGATATGTAAACGGAATAATTCTAATTGTAAATAAATATATGTATGTTGCAAATTGACTAGTTCCACTTGCAAATGGGCTCTCCCACACTTATTCACTCACGAAGACCTTCTTCAGATGAAGGAAGTGACATGTAAATGGACTAATTCCAGTTGTAAATAAATGTATGTATGTTGCAAATTGTCTAATCCCACTTGCAAATGGGCTGTCTCACACTTGTTCACTCAGACACATTATTCAGGTGAAGGAGGTGACATATAAATAGACTAATTTCAGTTGTAAATATATGTATGCATGTTACAAATTGTCTAGTCTCACTTGCAAATAGGCTCTTCTACACTTGTTCACATGAGGGGCAATAGTGTCATTTTCTTTGTGGAATTAATATCAGTTTGCCCCCTTGGTCCTGCAATGAAATTTCAAAAAGTTTTGAGGGCTCTTTGAAATTAATTTTATACTACGGTCCTTAAACGAAATTTTCCCTTAAAAAAAGAGAGAGCAAAGAAAGAGAAGTCATGGGTTTTGTTTGGTTGGATGGGAGAGAAAGGGAGGGGTAATTATAAATTAACAAATATGCCATTATCTCTATATTTAGACTACTTTTTCTTTTATTACAATATTCATATCAAAATTATTATTTCTTAATTTATTAATTTCAGAAAAAAAACCAGCTACCTCAGTTACATGTGATAAAAAAATTATAATAAAACTAAAAAAATTAGAAAATATGATAAAAAGTTTAACATTTATCTTATTGATCTTATAATTATAATGCACATGCATGTGCATTAATATATATGATATGTATATATTATATAATTATAATACACCACCCTCTATTAATGTATACTTATCATATTATATTACAAAAAAATTACTGCTATGATATAAATATGATATTATCAAATATCATTAGTGGCTAAAAAGAGAGAAGTGAGAAATGGGTTTCTAATAAGAGAGGCAAACTTAGAATATAAAAAAACTAATATGGGTAGTTTAGTCAATATTAAACATAATATTTTCCTCCCCTCCAAAAAATCTCAAATTTGGGGGGAGCAAAGGAAGGGAGGGGAGTACTAAAAGACAAATTTTTTCCCTCCCCTCCCCTCTATTTTTTCCAACCAAACACACTAATGGCATCTCCTTCCCTCCCCTCAAACCAAATAGAGCCTAAATGAACTCAACACCAGTTTTACTCATTTTTCAATCGTCTCATGTCATTGCAATTTGATTACTTTTGGGAAAAAAATCAAAATTTTTAATTTTAACTGGTGAAATTATATCAAATTTAAAAGATTATGAGTAAAATTATATAATTGAAAATAAATCAGAAGGTGGGTGCGCAAGAAATAAGATTGCCATAAATGAGATTCCTACCTTGCAGTGAGTTCAACGACCACCACTTCACCTCAGTATCCCTCAAAGAAATTATCAATGTGAATCTCATTTAAGTCTGCTAGTTAGAGATTGCTTGAAAATTACATTTATATTTATATTAGTATTACAACTATATCTTGTTAGTTTCATTAAATTCTTGAGGTAATTAAAGAGTTCCAACTACCTCAGTTGTTGTGCTTTATTGTTCATATTCAATCTCTAAGAGATTTATATTATTGTATTACTCCTCTGGTCCTATTTATAAGGTAGAGAAAGAAAGTTTTTTTGATCTTATTTATAAGTCGCTTCATTAAATTTTTATCATGAATGTATTATATTGTTCTTTATTTATTATAATGTAGATAGTTTTTTTTTTGAAAAGAGTATATATTAAATAGGGATAAAGTTGGAAAGTTGTTATATTTTAATGAAGAGTTAATACAGTTTAAGGTTTTTCATAATTTGTATAAAACATATTAGAAGTACCTTATAAATAGGATCAGATGAATATATTCAATCTATCGCTAATAATTGTGATTCTTAGAGTGGTGAGAACTTTGAGAAGAGATTGCAAACACTTGTGGTTGTGTCGAGAGGATTTCACGAATTTGAAAGAGTTGTGACATGAATTGTATTGTAGTGCCAATAACTTCATAGATTTTGGGGATATAATAAAAATCCTAAGAGGAAACCCTAGACCATCGAGCATTTAGACTGAACCAAAATTTTTGTTGTTTGATCTCTCTTTCGTACTCTCATCAGCATTAGTTATTGTATCTTACCTTGCTTTATTTTACTGTTCTATTAAAGTTCTACCCCACACAAAATTTTTTAAAACACACAATTCACGTATCTCATTTATGATTAACCATAGCCACAAAGGAATGAAAAATACTAAATATTATTAATTTATAATTACTGAAAAGATTCAATAATATATAAATAATAAATAAATAATAAAACAACTAATTATCTCAATAAGGAATAAATAATAAAATAACAAGACTCTCGCTTTTACACTTATACTTTTACGATTAGTTTTATCTTTCTTAATAAATCGGTATCCAAAGGTAAGTTTCTTTAACAATAAAAAAAATTAGTTATTTAAACTTGTATGAATGTACTTTTATTATTTTCAATTAATTGATGATAGGAAAACTACTCCATCGCTAATTTCTAATGAAAATTTTATTGCTAAAGTTAGCGACGAATTAGCCATAAAATTTCATTCGGTCATTAATCCACCGATAAATTAATTGTGGCAGAATTTTTCAGTCAAAAATTTTTGTCACTAATTTTAATTATAAAATTTTTAGTGACAGAATCATTCCGTATTTTGGTCATCACTAGTTAACGACGGAATTACTCCATCACTAATTTAGTGAATTAGTGATGGAATAATTAGCGACGAAACAAATTTTATTGTTAATGGATGGGTTCTGTTACTAATTCGTCATTAAATAAATAATTAGCGATGAAACAAATTTTGTTGTTAAATTTTGCCGTTAATCACACTTTTTTTTGGTATTGAATAGCTATTGTTATTAATCATTTGTTGCCAATATAAGAGAAAACCTTAAATATATAAGTTTAAGTTGTGACAAAAATGGCAACGATCAGAAAATAATTAACAACTATAAAAATCAGGGTAACTTGAATTTTTTTCCCAACAGTCCATTATCCCAAAAAAATACTTTTGAATTTCAAAATTTCAAATACACTTTAATAATAATTCATAATATTTGAAAAGCAAATAACAACAACAATTCACAACATTTGAAAACTAAATAACAACACATTTTTGTAATAATTCTTGATTTGGGATTTTGAAATTTTAAAAGTATTTTTTGAGATTTTCTCTTATGAATATTTAGCACTAAACGTTGAGTATTACTAAAATTCTTCCTTTGTACCCCTTTTTTAAGAAAAAAGTTGTACCAAATTTATTTTTCTGTCTTTAGACTAACACAGAACTAATAAACCAGAATATGAAAAATCAAATATATAAATGAGAAAATTTCAAAACAATATCTTTAAAATTTCAAAATCTTAAATTACGAATGATTATGAAAACGTACTTTCATTTTCTTTTTAAATGTTGTCAATTATTATTAAAGTGTAGTGAATAAGACTGATTTGAAATTTTGAAATTTCAAAGATTTTTTTTTTTTGAGATTCTCCCTTTATAAATTACAAATATAGAATAGCATCCATATTTTCATTTAAAATTATTATTCCTTTATTTACTTTCTTGCGTGTCTTTACCGCATTATCCCTCCTTTTTGGCATCTCACATGCAAGATGCGCCTTACAATATATATAAATATATATTTATATATATTATAATCAATTTATCTTTAATTTCATGAACAAATTGCCGGGTCCACAATGTAGTTGACTATTAAATGTTGACATAAATATTATTAATATCTTACTGTGTGCCATAAATAAAGACTTAATAGTTTCCAAAAGAAATAAATAGAGACTTAATAGAAAGGGCAAGGAAGGCAGGAGCAGGAAAGTTAGACGCAGAGAATAAATAACAGGAGAAGCAGCAGAAGGGACATATGGTAAGAATCATGCCACGGTTGACTTAACTAAATTCCCCCCCCCCTCTCTAATGGGGTTAAGCTGATATGAAATAAAATCCAATGAAATATTCTAAATTATGGATATTGTTTTTATATTTTAAGAGTAAACTTACATATATGAATGTCATTAATACAAAATATAAAATGCTCATAAGTCATTTAACAAACCAAAACACACAATATTTGTTATAATTATATCCATTTCATCAGTTACAAATGGAACATTTTTTTGGCCAACTATAAATATAAATGATGCATTTTATTCTTTAATTTTTAAACTCTATGTATCGCATTTGGAAAATATATTTCAACTAAATTTAAAGTAACTTTTGTAATATATAATTATATATATATTACCCTTATGTTTTTATAATACTCTTATGTTCTGTATTGTTTTGAAAATATATATTTTAGTCCAAATCATTAATATTGTTGAAGAGGATTTCAAAACTACATTATTGAGCTAAATATTATACTAGTATTATAATAAATTTTGTTTGCCAATTTAACCTTCTTCATCATCGTATTAAAGTTTTAATTTATTTGTTAGGTTGTGAAAATTTCATTGAAACAAAGACGTTTCACAAAAGGATCAAAACTACTTCATTTTATAATAATGTACAATAATTGTATATATCCTTAAAAAATATTTTTAATCAACACTTGTATTTAAAATAATAATAAACGAATAAGTTCAAATAAAGATATTATAAATTTAAAATTATTATAATAATAAAAATTTATAAATATATAATTGATTGACTTTATAATATGATTAAAATTAATCAATATATAAAAAAATTTTGAAAATATATATTAAAACTATTTTTTGACAAGTAAAAGTATTTAAATTATTAAGTAATATTTAGGTCAAGATGGGCAATTTCGTCAAAATAAAATTTTAAAATGAGATCTTGAAATTAGAAAGGCTATTTGAATAACATATATTTTGATTTTTAAGAATATATATAAGGGTTTAAAATAGAAGAAGGATTTATATAATTTAAGTTAAATAAATGAGAAGTCAATGTATTTTACTCTTATAAACTTAATAAAATTAATATATATATGTATGTGTGTAAAAGAAAGTGTAATATAACATGAATAAAGTTATTATCATCAACATGGACACTAATATCAATATCAGAATATATTAGTCTATGTAATATAATGCTAAAGGATTATGAAATGATAAACTGAAGCTAGGTAAGTATTATAAGAATCATATTTATTGATAAAATTTTTTTTAAATCCAAGACAAATCCAGCACTTTCGCCTCTTTCTTTTCTCATTTTTGTTTAAATATTACCGATCTTAATTATAAAATCTTGTTTATAAACTATAAATTACGTGCTATATTTATTTATTAACGTTCTGTTTGTCATTATTTTTTAGGGTGTGTTTGGATGAAACCAAACCATGGTTTGGAGAATAGCTTCTGGAGAATAGATTCTGAAAAAAATAGATTTTGGGAAGAATATATTTTGTGAAAAAGTGATTTTGAGAAGTGTGAGTGTTTGGATAGTTGTTATTAGAAGTACTTTTTATATATGCAAATTGGTATAAATTAATATGATAATTATAGAAAAAATATATTTTATGATATATTTTAATTTGAAGAAATAAAATTGTTAATAATATATTTTTTATTAACATATATTAATAATATATAAGATAATATAATTAATAAATAATTAATATGTATATATATATTTATAAGATATAAGATTAAATATATTTATAAAAAATATGTTTATAAGAAAAACAACAAGATACATATCTTATAAGTTCTCACACTCTCCCCCTTTTCCTCCAAAAATAAAAAATTTCTGCTTTTCTCAAAACCATGGTTTTGGAGTCAAAACCATGGTTTTGATTTTTTTAAGGGTGTTTGGCTAACATTTTTCCCAAACCATGGTTTGGGATGCTTGCCAAACACACCCTTAATCATGCTGTCATTTTTTGTGATCCAAGCAACCTCCGCCACCCAGCGGGAATTGATCTGACATTTATTAGAGAGAAGCGATGGATGGGTACAGATGAACATAGAGAGAACAGAGAAATCAACGGAGAAGGAAGCGAATCAGCGCGAGGCGCATACCTGATGAGGCACAGAGGATTGAGAAGCAGAAGATTGCCAGAAGATGTCGACGTGCTCATCAGAATCAGATTGCGGAGAGAGAGGAGGCAACACAGCCTCACATATGCTTTCAAGTGATTCCATTTCCGCCGATGACAATCCATTAGTGTCTTTGCTTGACTGGTCTCTCCTTCTTCCTCTCAGAACAAAATGACTCTCTCTCTTCATTCTCTCTCTCTCTTCTTCCTCCCTCTGCCACTACCCTTCCAAAGTCTTTTGCTTTATATTTTTAAGCACTCACCAATCTGTCCTCTTCATTAATTGACTTGGATGCACACTCCTTTGCTTTTCTTGTTTCACTGTCAAAAGCCAGGTGTGGACAGCTAATTTGCTTTCCCTTCATTAATTTTGCACTCCTTATATTGTATAATTTGTAATTTAAATTTTTACGTTTATTTCTTGAATTCTTAATACATAATATCAACATCAAATATCAGATTTTAGAACTATGTATTAACTCATTAGTCATTACCTATTAGGACACGTTTGAGAATTTGTGATAGAATACAATGGATTGGATTAACGCTACTTTCACGTAAAGTTTAGACCATTGTGACCTAAACTAAAATGATACAACAAATACACCACAAGAGAGAGAAAAGAAAGAGGAAAAAGGAGAGAAGTCTCAAGACTTAAAGATTAACCCCGTAACTAATGGAGGGAGCCCCTCTCCATATATAGAGAGAGGCAGAGGATATTTTGAGAAGCCAAATTAGAAGACAAATCCATACAAAATACATATAGATAATCCAAATTTGTATACATGAATTCTCTTATAAGATTACCAGAAAAGATTTCATAAATACCTCTTGCCATAGCTTTGACTTTGAATGAACTCAGGATCTAAGATCAAATAGTAACTATAAAATAGGAGAGAGTCAAAAGAAAGAAATGTTCATGTCTCTTTTGACGGACTAATGACACTATAACGGGCAAGACAAGTTGGGTCATAGTTTCGCATATTTAGGCCTAAGAAATATTACTTGAAGACTGATTTAGCTAGAGCTTGTTTATGTTGTTTAAGTCATTAATTTTTCTATTTAGTTTGTAATTTTCTTTTTTCAATAAGGCCATGGGCCAAGAGTTATTAATTAGTCTTTATGTGCCATTTAATCATTAATGGCATATTAAGATTTATTTATTATTGTTAAATGATTGATCTTTTAATTTAAAAGCCTATAATATTATCCTGTATATAAATCAAATTATCTTTCATGATTTATTTATTATTGTTAAATGATTGATCTTTTAATTTAAAAGCCTATAATATTATCCAGTATATAAATCAAATTATCTTTCATGATTTAAAAGCCTATATCCCTGTAATTATATTGTCTTCCATGATCTGATTTACCCAATTTTAAAATATCATTGTTAATTATTGAGTCTTATCCATTCATAAATTAGATTATTTTAAATAAGCTAATATCCTACCATATCCTTAAACATATCCTGTGCTCCTAATACCGTCCATTAATTAATTCATTATCTATTAAACCCTTTCGTAAAAATTAGATTATCTAAATTATCCAATTTAACTATCCCCAATATTTTCATTTATCATTTAACCATATCCACTATATTATGTATCCTTATCCTTTTGGAGTTTTTTAAATTGGATCAATAGTTTTTGAAGAGTGTTATAACCCATTTGGTTCATTGAAGCATAAGTAATGTAATGTAATGTAACAGGAAGGAATGTAATATAATGTAAAAGTGATTACAATAAGTTTGCTTAGTGAATCGCTATCTTTAGATTGATTTTAATAATTATAAAAATTTGAAAGACTAAAATATCCTTATGACATTTTTCTCTTACCCCTTCCCTTCCCTGATCGCATTCCTCCTTCTCCTCTTTCTTCATCGCTTGCCACCATAATCAATGCCCAAAAACATAATCAAGGCAAAATGATCTAGAAGGCTAAAGATAGAAATGGAATGATGGAATTATTGGGTGGAAGATAATAGAGGAATCAAGATTGCGGTGACAAACGAGGTGGGGGCCGCTGAACTAAATGGACATTGTCAGTCTAGTTGTCATTAATATGTTTTGTTGCCTTGTAATCCAAATAAAAAGAGACAAGTATTGCTATTACATAGTTGATTCATCATTTAATGATTTGTAAGGCCAAAAATGCTTGTTACTTAATGACCCAAACATTGCCATATCTCTTCTTTGCTGCTGCAATTTTGTCCACTTTTTTCTAGTATGTTTTTGTTCATAGTTTTTACTTGGTATTTACTGGGAATTCAGGATGAGTTTTCGAAATCTATAGGGAAGGCCCGAGTGACTCGATTCCCAAACTTAGTCATGATTGCTAAGTAGGCACTACTACTAAAAATATAATAATTGACAGTTATTTCTGCTCATATTTGATAGTTAAAAACAGTCAAGTATGCTTGCATCATATATTTGGATGGGTAATATTTGATGGTTATTAACCGTCAAATATTTTGGATAATATTTGATGGTTCTGAAATTAAAATCGTCAAGTATTGGTGACTAATTTTACAGTTACTGACTTCAATTACTTAACAGTTACTCATACAATTGTCAAGTATTCTAAAAATACTTGAAGGTTACTTATAAAACTGTCAAGTATTATGACAATACTTGATGGTTATAAAAAGAACCGTCAAGTCACTACTAGAAAAAAAGACTTCTAACATCGCAAAATAACGGTGGTTAAGCAGAAAAACGAGGTGGAAAAAAAGGCAGTGGCATTTTTGTAAATAAGTTGATAGAGTATTGATTTTCCACGGCGGTTGTTAGGAAAACCGCTGTGGAAAGTTTCAAATTAACCCTACGGCGCCTTTGTTTTCTCTCATTTCTCTTTCGTTTCATCAGTGCGCCATGGTCCCCCTCTGTCCCACCATCAACAAACTTCCATTATCGGCCATTCCCTCCACTCCCCCACTGTTTAAACTCGTCCATTTCGCTTGTGGTGTCTTGCTGCCATCCGCTGCCGTTTGAATGCCCCTCTTTTCGCATTTGAATCATCTCTACTTTGTGAGTATCCTCTTCTTTCATTCTTTTTAATTTTTCTTGGTTTGTTGAATGTTTTGACTTTTGACCATGAAAATCTGTTGTATTTCAAATGGATTTGTTAGTTTTACATTGTGGTTGGCTTGTATTGTTCATTTTGCATTTTTTATGTGCTTGAACTGTTGATTGGTAGGCATTTGGTGTGAAAAAACCTCAATTCCTTCCTATATACTATATAAAAAACACGTTTAAATGTTTGAAGTTGATTAGTTGTGAAGTTTTTTATTTTTTTTAATAATTTTTTGATATTTATTTTGAATTTTTGGAATTTTTTTGTAATAAATTTGAGAATTTAGTAATAAATAATCTGTTTGGTATTTTGTGATTTTTTTTTGTTATAAACTTTGATTGATAATAAAGTGTTGTTTAAAATTTCATTGCAAATGGATATCATTTGTGTTTCCGTTTTGAATTCAGAAGTTTTAGCTTTAAGAATTTTATTCATTAGATTGGTTTGAAATTGAATATTTATTTTTGTTTTATTTGTTATATTTTTTCAAATTTATCATGTTGAAATATGTGATGAAGAATATTTTTTTTGTTAATTAAAATAATTTTTGTTTAACTATTTTACAAAACTTATATATATTTGTTTATTTTATATTTTATTAATATTTCTTTCATTCACTATATATACTCATTTTAAAGAAATTACTTAATCTAATTTTTAAAAATAATTATATATTTTACTTTTTTATTATAATATATTTAATAAGATAAATAGGGGTTGAGAAAATTTTAATTTTGATTACAAATTTTGATTTTTTTTTGGTTTCTAATTTGGTGTTTAATTTGTACATAGTTGTTAAGGAGAAATTTTGTCAAAATTTTTATTTTTAAAAAAGAGACATCCCTTCAATTTGTAATTAAGTGTTAGTCAATTTTAATTTATTGACTAACATTTAATGATTTTATTATTTCAATTTTTGAATTAAGGAATTAGAATTGAGCTTGACAACTATGTTCATTGACTCTATAGAATAATGGATCGTAGTTGGATGAAAGCTAAGAGAATTAGCAAGGAATATGAGGATGGGGTTGAAAGATTTCTTGAGTTTGCTCAGAGAAATGCCCCTAGTAAAAAAGATGGATTGTACTATTGTCCTTGTGTCAAATGTTTAAACAATAGTCGACAGAATATTTCTGAGATAAAAGAGCATCTTATCTATGATGGGATAAATTTGAGGTATACAAATTGGATATGGCATGGAGAAATTAGAAAGACTACACTGTTTGCAAAGGAAAAGGTTGTGAATGAAGACTTTGGTGATAGAATTTCAGATATGTTTCGTGATATAAGGTCTGAATCCTCTACACAGTTCTCTCCTACTTTTGAAACTTTGTGTAGTGATACAGAGACACCTTTATACCCAGGATGCAAAGATGATTACACAAGGTTGACAATCGTGTTGAAACTGATGAACTTGAAGGCAAGAAATGGTTGGACTGATGCTAGTTTCATGGAATTGCTTGACTTGCTGAGTGATATTCTTCCAAAAGGGAATTCACTTCCGAAACGAATGTATGAGGCAAAGAAAATTTTGTGTCCGATGGGTTTGGAATATGAGAAGATATATGCGTGTCCTAATGACTGCATATTATTTAGAAATGATTATAAAAGGTTGAATAAGTGCCCTAAATGTGGGACTTCAAGATACCAAGTTAAGAAAGATGATAGTGATTATAATGAGATGACCAAAGGTTCTCCTTTGAAGGTTCTGTGGTATCTTCCAATAATACCACGATTTAAGAGTTTATTTGCTAATGCCACAGATGCAAAGAACTTGAGATGGCATTTCGATAAGAAAATATGTGATGGAAAGTTTCGTCACCCAGCAGATTCTCCTCAATGGAAAACAATAGATCAAAAATTTTCTCAATTTGGTGGCAAGCTAAGAAACCTTCGGCTAGGGCTTTGTACGGACGAAATTAACCCATATGGTAATGTTAGTAGCACACACAGTGCTTGGCCAGTGCTCCTCATAATTTACAACTTACCTTGTTGGTTATGTATGAAGAAAAAGTATATCATGCTATCTTTGATGATTTCGGGGCCAAAACAGCAGGGAAACGATATCGATGTGTATTTGGCACATTTGATTGAGGATCTAAAGAAATTATGGGAGGAAGGTGTTGCTGTGTTTGATGCATATAAACAAGAGACCTTCAATTTACGTGCCATGATCTTTACCACGATAAATGACTTTCCAGCATATGGAAATTTGTC